CCCATTCACGTTAAAACTAGTAAAGTCTCACTTTCATTTCGCCTTTAGATTTTCGAATCCAATGACTCGCGCATACCATAAACTCCTTGGTCCGTGTTTCAAGACGGGTCGAATGGGTCACCGACTATACACCGAGAAGAACATAGAGCAAACCACCACGCCGATAGGCCCGAGAAGCGCCGCACACATGTGTACAACACGAACCGAACACATCGACGCAACGATATGCGAAAAACCCATGTCTCTACGAAGCTGCGCAGCGTCAACCAAACTCGACAAGCCCAGGGTTCCGGAGCCCGAAGGCCCGGTCCTCTAAACAAGGTTTGTTTAGCAACACCACACAACTCGGCGCACTCCGTACGCAAATGCACCAACGAACCGCCCAACAATAAACGAAGCACACATTGCTGAAATGCTAAACGCTCAATTGAACAGCCCGAAAGTTGAATACGCACTAGATACGTCGGCTCCATTCGCTTCCATTACAACGGTTTCACGTTCTCTTGCACTCTCTTTTCAAAGTACTTTTCAACTTTCCCTCACGGTACTTGTTTTCTATCGGTCTCACGGTCGTATTTAGCCTTAGGTGAAGTTTACCACCAACTTTGGGCTGCGTTTCCAAACAACCCGACTCCCAGAACCAACACTCACCAAGTCCAGCCAGCTATACCGGGGTAAAACCGTCTAAGCCGCCGCGTTCCAACGAGACTTAAACCAGCCAGGACATGGCGAACAAAAGCTCTATACGCTACACCGGTCATCAGCCAAAACCAACAACCTTTAGCGCTGGGCTAATCCCGTTTCACTCGCAGTTACTCAGGGAATCCATGTTTGTTTCTTTTCCACTGCTTACTGATATGCTTAAGTTCAGCAGGTAATCATACACAATTCAGGTAGTTTCAAGTAAAAACCCGTAGGCTGCCCGCCAAACGTTTTCGACACACGGCCAAAACGACACTACGCTACACTGAAGCCAGGTTTCCAAAAACATACAGACAACCTTTCGCGGCGACAATAAACATAACGTCACGCTTGACAGTTTAACAACGCTCCGAAAAACGTCTCACAGCCAACGATTTCCATGTTCCTCAACGGAACAACGATTATACAGTTTGCGGCAACTATACGGTCGCCGCAAACTCTATCCACAACACAACAGAACAAATTATTACACAAGATTCTGTTAGTTTGCAAGAAAATACCCTGAATCGTATATGCCCAAGAGCAAAGCCCAAGAGCGCAATATGCATTCAAAAACATGGTACTCATAATATCTGTAATTCGTACTTATTATCGCAATTCACTGCGTTTTTAATCGACCCGTGAGCCAAGTGATCCACCGTAGTAACTTATAATATAATTTCACAAGAAAATAAATTAAAAATGAATGTTTTGTCAGGGCGGCCACTCGGGCTCTTCAATCCTACGTTCGCAAACGAGTGCAAACAGCCGGCTAGCATCATACGCACGACACGGTAAAACGTCGGCTCAAACATAGCGCATAGAAACCCAGACCTCACCGTTAAAACGCTGTATTCGGCGTTGCGCATCCGAAAATACGCAACACCGCACGGCAGTCCACTATTCTGTTTCGGCACTGACTCCGTAGAACGACAATCGATACACAAAAAGAACAGCAAACATTGCCGTCATCGTTTTGAAAAACGAATAAATGAAACAAGAGATCGTTAATGATCCAGCCGAAGGTTCACCTACGGCTACCTTGTTACGACTTTTGCCCGGTTCAAGCCACTGCGATTAAACTAGTTCTCACCAAAGCCAATGCCGAAACATCAAACTCTAGCGATCCCTAGTTTTCTCGAAGTAACTCAGTCCCGGGCAGCGACGGGCGGTGTGTACAAAGGGCAGGGACGTAATCAATGCAAGTTAATGACTCACATTTACTTGGAATTCCTCGTTCATGAGAGAAAATTTCAACACTCAATTCCAGCCATAATAATATCTCAACTGTTTGCCAATTCCTGTCGGAAAAGGACAATCACGCTGTTACCACCATTGTAGCACGCGTGCGGCCCCGAACATCTAAGGGCATCACAGACCTGTTATTGCTCAATTTCTTGAGGTTGAAAACCACAAATTCCTTTAAGAAGTGATCACACGCAGCCGAAGCAACATGCGCACTATTTAATAGTTAAAGTCTCGTTCGTTATCGGAATAAACCAGACAAATCAATCCACGAACTAAGAACGGCCATGCACCACCATTTACCGAATCATGAAAGAGCTGTCAGTCTGTCAATCCTTACGATATACTGGCCGGGTGAGATTTCCCGTGTTGAGTCAAATTAAGCCGCAAGCTCCACTCCTGGTGGTGCCCTTCCGTCAATTCCTTTAAGTTTCAGCTTTGCAACCATACTTCCCCCCGAAACCGAAAAACTTTCGTTTCCGGAAATCTCCCCGCTCATGAATGAAATCCACAAGCGGATCGACAGTTGGCATCGTTTACGGTCAGAACTAGAGCGGTATCTAATCGCCTTCGAACCTCTGACTTTCGTTCTTGATTAATGAAAACACTCTTGGCAAATGCCTTCGCTGTCGGTCGTCTCGCTACGGTCCACGAATTTCACCTCTCGCGCAGCGATACGAATGCCCCCGGCTGTTCCTGTTAACCATTGTTTTAGCCGACAAAACCAATAAAACTCAGCCAAAACCTTGTTCCATTATTCCATGCACCGGTATTCAGTCATAAGACTTGCTTTAAGCACTTGAGCCGTTCAAAGTAATCCTGCATGCATCACGACGCTACCGAAGCAACGCCGCAAAAACATACAAAATGCAAACATTGAGTACGCACTCAGAGAGTGGACCCATGTCTGCGTTGCAATCCAACTACGAACTTTTTAATCGCAACAATAATTCTATACATTACGAGAGCTGGAATTACCGCGGCTGCTGGCACCAGACTTGCCCTCTCGTAGATACTCGTTAAAATTTCTGGATTGTACTCATTCCAATAATCGATCCCATAGGGAACGATCTTGTTATTTCTCGTCACTACCTCATCGTTTTGATATTGGGTAATTTTCGCGCCTGCTGCTATCCTTAGACATGGTAGCCGTTTCTAAGGCTCCCTCTCCGGAGTCAAACCCTGATTCTCCGTTACCCGTCAACACCATGGTAGACCAATAAACTACCAACGATAGTTGATAAAGCAGATACTTGAAAGAAACTTCGCCGGTACAAGACCATGCGATATGCAGAATTATCCTGAGTTAGCAAACAGTACGAGACTGGTTTTGCTCCAATAATTGCACCCTAACCCGAAGGCCAAGGCTTGATGCATGTATTGGCTCCAGAATTACCGCAGTTATCCATATAGATACAAGAACTAGTAAATTATATCTGTTGTAATGAGCCGTTCGCAGTTTCGCTATATAATACTCCACTTAGACATGCATGGCTAAATCTTTGAAAGAAACATATCAGTTCAGCCAGGATCAACCAGATTACTATTTAAAATAGACACAAGTTGTCACGATGTAAATATAATACAGTTAAAACACGCTCGTCCATAACATCATATACGAAAAACGTATACTTGCATTGACTTCGAGTCGACATAAGCAGCACAAACTGCGTACACCACCTTCCGAAAAAACAGATGCGAATAGAAACGCGCTCTCTACGAACGTTTTCACGAACGCAGCGAGCCTTTGCAAGTCGGCGAGACGATTTCATTTCCTTCAATCGCGCTCTCCGCTTTCTTCTTCTTTCACGAAATGCGTAAAATCGGGGTTCCGCAGTAAGAATCTAAAACTATTGCAGCATATTATACTATAGTTTTGGGCTTCTTTTTGCTTCTAAAGAGTAAAAAAGATATTTAAATAATATTTAAAGATATTTAAAAATATTTAAAAAAAAATTCAAAATTTCAATAAAAATTAAAAATTTTAACCATAAATAGTGCAAAAGTTTTAATTTTGCTAATTATTTGAATATTTGTGTGAAAAATGTTCCATAAAGTGGCTCCCATAAATTTTGGTCTACTTTTGAGTTTCGAAACAATTATTTTTATTAATTTTTAAAGTAATTTAAATATTTAAATACACAAGTTTTAAATTTGCACAAAATTTGTTTATTATTTGCATTTTTTGTGAAAAATGTCTCATAAAGTGGCTCCCGTAATAAATGTAGAGAAACAAGTTTATTAAATGTGTTTTTAAAAATTAATATTATTTATACGGACTTAATTCGCCCGTACGTAAGTTATTCGCGCGTACGTAAGTCATTCGCCCGTACGTAAGTCGGGACTTGGGCAAAATTCGGGCGTTCCTTTTCAATTCGCGCGTACGTAAGTTCGGGACTTAGACAAAATTCATGTAAAAAAGCAACTTGCGTACGCGCGAATTCGTCCAATTCGGCCGTACGAACGTCGTGTTTTCTGGCGCGTTTTCAGGCCAAAACCGCCCGGGCGCCCAAAACGTTAAATTCGGCCGTACATAAGTTGGCGAACGTAAAAATAAAACAGATACATCCGATCAAAGGATAGTCTCAACAGATCGCAGTGTAATAACTGCTCTGCTGCGTACAACCCCCTGACCAGTAGTCAAGTCGTATACAAGCGATCTTACACCCCGACAATCAACCACACAAAGTCGTATGGATTCAACAACAAGCCAGTAATTAAACCAACCTGCAAAGTCAAATATGGGGTAAAGGCTGCAAGCACCCGAAGTGCAAGCATAAACGTACCACCCGAAGCCGGGGCACAAAACATTGTTTACCTAACCAGACGGGCTTCTAACTTAGAGGCATTCAGTTATAATCCCGCAGATGGTAGCTTTCGGGACCATCGTCCTATCGGACGAGCCCATAAACCAATTGTCTGAACCTGCTGTTCCTCTCGTACTAAGCAAGATTACTGTTGCAACAACTCTTTGACAGTAGGATAAAACTAACCTGTCTCACGACGGTCTAAACCCAGCTCACGTTCCCTATTAGTGGGTGAACAATCCAACGCTTTGCGCATTCTGCTACGCAATGATAGGAAGAGCCGACATCGAAGGATCAAAAAGCAACGTCGCTATGGACGCTTGGCTGCCACAAGCCAGTTATCCCTGTGGTAACTTTTCTGACACCTCTTGCTGTAAACTTTACAAATCGAAAGGATCGATAGGCCACGCTTTCGCGGTCTGTATTCGTACTGAAAATCAAGATCAAGTAAGCTTTTGTCCTTTTACTCTACGTAAGGTTTCCGTCCTTACTGAGCTTACCTTAGGACACCTACGTTACTGTTTGATAGATGTACCGCCCCAGTCAAACTCCCCGCCTGACAATGTCATCGGCGCGGGTCGCCAGCGCACCAAGTACGCTGACTTAAAATCAATCACAAGTTTTCGTAAGAAAACGTTCCCCGTATTACCGAATAAGTAAGGAAACGATGAAAGTAGTGGTATTTCACTGACGTACCGAAGCACTCCCACTTATGCTACACCATGCATGATTCTTCACAAAGTCAGACTAGAGTCAAGCTCAACAGGGTCTTCTTTCCCCGCTGTCTTTGCCAAGCCCGTTCCCTTGGCTGTGGTTTCGCTAGATAGTAGTTAGGGACAGTGGGAATCTCGTTAATCCATTCATACGCGTCACTAATTGGATGACGAGGCATTTGGCTACCTTAAGAGAGTCATAGTTACTCCCGCCGTTTACCCGCGCTTACTCAAATTTCCTTAAATTAACATTCAGAGCACTGGGCAGAAATCAGAGACAGTCAACGTCTTTCAGAGACCATCTGTCTCCTCTGTTTTAATTAGACAGTCGGATTCCCCATGTCCGTACCAGTTCTAGATTCGATTGTTAAGCGCTAGCCGAAGACTACGCACGCCGAAACGAACGCAATCGAAGTTGAAACGATCCACCTGCAGGCCACGCTACTAGCTCCAAACAGCTCGCCGAAGCTCGCCATCCAGTCACGAACGCAGCCCGCAAGCATCACGTAACAACCCGACTAACCCAATCTCTAGAGCCAATTCTTTTCCCAAAGTTACGAATCTAATTTGCCGACTTCCCTTATCTACATTATTCCATCAACTAGAGGCTGCACACCTTGGAGACCTGCTGCGGATATTGGTACGATCATGCGAGAAATTCATTAAGCCTCCCTTGCCTTTTCAAGGACCACATAGAGTACACGAGACACCGCAGCAACCGCAGTGCTATACAGCCCCAGCAACCATATCTCCGGATGAACCGATTCCATGGTCATGAAAGCTTAAACTAGAAAAGAGATCTCTAGCTCGGACTCTAAGCAGTGTCAGCAAGTTCGTTTGCGTTACCGCGCTTCAACAACACCGAAGTGCCATCAATCTCCTCGTCATGACGTGGGAATATTAACCCACTTCCCTTTCGGCGAATGCAGCGCAATCCACAAGTGAATTTTAACGCCACAACTTCAAATCCAGCATTAGCCTGTGCCTTAGGATCGGTTAACCCACGTACAATCACTGTGCACGCGGAACCCTTCTCCACTTCAGTCTTCAAGGATCTCACTTGAATATTTGCTACTACAACCAAGATCTGCACTCATAACGGCTCCATTCGAGCTCACGCTCAACAACTTCAACGCCATTACGACGTACCTCCTACTCGTCGAGAGATTTCGCAATGCTCAACGACGGCAGAGTATAGGTCATTCGCTCGAGCGCCATCCATTTTCAGGGCTAGTTGATTCGGCAGGTGAGTTGTTACACACTCCTTAGCGGATTCCGACTTCCATGGCCACCGTCCTGCTGTCTATATCAACCAACACCTTTCATGGGGTCTCATGAGCGAATAGTTAGGCACCGTAACTCCGCGTTTGGTTCATCCCACATCGCCAGTTCTGCTTACCAAAAATGGCCCACTTGGAGCACAACAATCAAAGTCAATGTTCAATTAAGCAACACCAACATCATAACCATTTAGAGTTTGAGAATAGTCTGAGAATAATACATCCCAAGAACTCTAATCGTTCGCTTTACCGAGTATATCTGTTATATATGTGCACCAGCTATCCTGAGGGAAACTTCGGAGGAAACCAGCTACCAGATGGTTCGATTAGTCTTGCGCCCCTATACCAAAATCAGACGATCGATTTGCACGTCAGAACCGCTTTCGGACTTCCACCAGAGTTTCCTCTGGCTTCGTCCTGTTCAGGCATAGTTCACCATCTTTCGGGTCTCATAGCATACGCTCAACCTCCGCAACAAGACAAGTCTTCGAAACGGGGCAACGTTGCTTGGGCCGCACGAATGCCGCACCCATTCACGTTAAAACTAGTAAAGTCTCACTTTCATTTCGCCTTTAGATTTTCGAATCCAATGACTCGCGCATACCATAAACTCCTTGGTCCGTGTTTCAAGACGGGTCGAATGGGTCACCGACTATACACCGAGAAGAACATAGAGCAAACCACCACGCCGATAGGCCCGAGAAGCGCCGCACACATGTGTACAACACGAACCGAACACATCGACGCAACGATATGCGAAAAACCCATGTCTCTACGAAGCTGCGCAGCGTCAACCAAACTCGACAAGCCCAGGGTTCCGGAGCCCGAAGGCCCGGTCCTCTAAACAAGGTTTGTTTAGCAACACCACACAACTCGGCGCACTCCGTACGCAAATGCACCAACGAACCGCCCAACAATAAACGAAGCACACATTGCTGAAATGCTAAACGCTCAATTGAACAGCCCGAAAGTTGAATACGCACTAGATACGTCGGCTCCATTCGCTTCCATTACAACGGTTTCACGTTCTCTTGCACTCTCTTTTCAAAGTACTTTTCAACTTTCCCTCACGGTACTTGTTTTCTATCGGTCTCACGGTCGTATTTAGCCTTAGGTGAAGTTTACCACCAACTTTGGGCTGCGTTTCCAAACAACCCGACTCCCAGAACCAACACTCACCAAGTCCAGCCAGCTATACCGGGGTAAAACCGTCTAAGCCGCCGCGTTCCAACGAGACTTAAACCAGCCAGGACATGGCGAACAAAAGCTCTATACGCTACACCGGTCATCAGCCAAAACCAACAACCTTTAGCGCTGGGCTAATCCCGTTTCACTCGCAGTTACTCAGGGAATCCATGTTTGTTTCTTTTCCACTGCTTACTGATATGCTTAAGTTCAGCAGGTAATCATACACAATTCAGGTAGTTTCAAGTAAAAACCCGTAGGCTGCCCGCCAAACGTTTTCGACACACGGCCAAAACGACACTACGCTACACTGAAGCCAGGTTTCCAAAAACATACAGACAACCTTTCGCGGCGACAATAAACATAACGTCACGCTTGACAGTTTAACAACGCTCCGAAAAACGTCTCACAGCCAACGATTTCCATGTTCCTCAACGGAACAACGATTATACAGTTTGCGGCAACTATACGGTCGCCGCAAACTCTATCCACAACACAACAGAACAAATTATTACACAAGATTCTGTTAGTTTGCAAGAAAATACCCTGAATCGTATATGCCCAAGAGCAAAGCCCAAGAGCGCAATATGCATTCAAAAACATGGTACTCATAATATCTGTAATTCGTACTTATTATCGCAATTCACTGCGTTTTTAATCGACCCGTGAGCCAAGTGATCCACCGTAGTAACTTATAATATAATTTCACAAGAAAATAAATTAAAAATGAATGTTTTGTCAGGGCGGCCACTCGGGCTCTTCAATCCTACGTTCGCAAACGAGTGCAAACAGCCGGCTAGCATCATACGCACGACACGGTAAAACGTCGGCTCAAACATAGCGCATAGAAACCCAGACCTCACCGTTAAAACGCTGTATTCGGCGTTGCGCATCCGAAAATACGCAACACCGCACGGCAGTCCACTATTCTGTTTCGGCACTGACTCCGTAGAACGACAATCGATACACAAAAAGAACAGCAAACATTGCCGTCATCGTTTTGAAAAACGAATAAATGAAACAAGAGATCGTTAATGATCCAGCCGAAGGTTCACCTACGGCTACCTTGTTACGACTTTTGCCCGGTTCAAGCCACTGCGATTAAACTAGTTCTCACCAAAGCCAATGCCGAAACATCAAACTCTAGCGATCCCTAGTTTTCTCGAAGTAACTCAGTCCCGGGCAGCGACGGGCGGTGTGTACAAAGGGCAGGGACGTAATCAATGCAAGTTAATGACTCACATTTACTTGGAATTCCTCGTTCATGAGAGAAAATTTCAACACTCAATTCCAGCCATAATAATATCTCAACTGTTTGCCAATTCCTGTCGGAAAAGGACAATCACGCTGTTACCACCATTGTAGCACGCGTGCGGCCCCGAACATCTAAGGGCATCACAGACCTGTTATTGCTCAATTTCTTGAGGTTGAAAACCACAAATTCCTTTAAGAAGTGATCACACGCAGCCGAAGCAACATGCGCACTATTTAATAGTTAAAGTCTCGTTCGTTATCGGAATAAACCAGACAAATCAATCCACGAACTAAGAACGGCCATGCACCACCATTTACCGAATCATGAAAGAGCTGTCAGTCTGTCAATCCTTACGATATACTGGCCGGGTGAGATTTCCCGTGTTGAGTCAAATTAAGCCGCAAGCTCCACTCCTGGTGGTGCCCTTCCGTCAATTCCTTTAAGTTTCAGCTTTGCAACCATACTTCCCCCGAAACCGAAAAACTTTCGTTTCCGGAAATCTCCCCGCTCATGAATGAAATCCACAAGCGGATCGACAGTTGGCATCGTTTACGGTCAGAACTAGAGCGGTATCTAATCGCCTTCGAACCTCTGACTTTCGTTCTTGATTAATGAAAACACTCTTGGCAAATGCCTTCGCTGTCGGTCGTCTCGCTACGGTCCACGAATTTCACCTCTCGCGCAGCGATACGAATGCCCCCGGCTGTTCCTGTTAACCATTGTTTTAGCCGACAAAACCAATAAAACTCAGCCAAAACCTTGTTCCATTATTCCATGCACCGGTATTCAGTCATAAGACTTGCTTTAAGCACTTGAGCCGTTCAAAGTAATCCTGCATGCATCACGACGCTACCGAAGCAACGCCGCAAAAACATACAAAATGCAAACATTGAGTACGCACTCAGAGAGTGGACCCATGTCTGCGTTGCAATCCAACTACGAACTTTTTAATCGCAACAATAATTCTATACATTACGAGAGCTGGAATTACCGCGGCTGCTGGCACCAGACTTGCCCTCTCGTAGATACTCGTTAAAATTTCTGGATTGTACTCATTCCAATAATCGATCCCATAGGGAACGATCTTGTTATTTCTCGTCACTACCTCATCGTTTTGATATTGGGTAATTTTCGCGCCTGCTGCTATCCTTAGACATGGTAGCCGTTTCTAAGGCTCCCTCTCCGGAGTCAAACCCTGATTCTCCGTTACCCGTCAACACCATGGTAGACCAATAAACTACCAACGATAGTTGATAAAGCAGATACTTGAAAGAAACTTCGCCGGTACAAGACCATGCGATATGCAGAATTATCCTGAGTTAGCAAACAGTACGAGACTGGTTTTGCTCCAATAATTGCACCCTAACCCGAAGGCCAAGGCTTGATGCATGTATTGGCTCCAGAATTACCGCAGTTATCCATATAGATACAAGAACTAGTAAATTATATCTGTTGTAATGAGCCGTTCGCAGTTTCGCTATATAATACTCCACTTAGACATGCATGGCTAAATCTTTGAAAGAAACATATCAGTTCAGCCAGGATCAACCAGATTACTATTTAAAATAGACACAAGTTGTCACGATGTAAATATAATACAGTTAAAACACGCTCGTCCATAACATCATATACGAAAAACGTATACTTGCATTGACTTCGAGTCGACATAAGCAGCACAAACTGCGTACACCACCTTCCGAAAAAACAGATGCGAATAGAAACGCGCTCTCTACGAACGTTTTCACGAACGCAGCGAGCCTTTGCAAGTCGGCGAGACGATTTCATTTCCTTCAATCGCGCTCTCCGCTTTCTTCTTCTTTCACGAAATGCGTAAAATCGGGGTTCCGCAGTAAGAATCTAAAACTATTGCAGCATATTATACTATAGTTTTGGGCTTCTTTTTGCTTCTAAAGAGTAAAAAAGATATTTAAATAATATTTAAAGATATTTAAAAATATTTTTTTTAAAAAAAAATTCAAAATTTCAATAAAAATTAAAAATTTTAACCATAAATAGTGCAAAAGTTTTAATTTTGCTAATTATTTGAATATTTGTGTGAAAAATGTTCCATAAAGTGGCTCCCATAAATTTTGGTCTACTTTTGAGTTTCGAAACAATTATTTTTATTAATTTTTAAAGTAATTTAAATATTTAAATACACAAGTTTTAAATTTGCACAAAATTTGTTTATTATTTGCATTTTTTGTGAAAAATGTCTCATAAAGTGGCTCCCGTAATAAATGTAGAGAAACAAGTTTATTAAATGTGTTTTTAAAAATTAATATTATTTATACGGACTTAATTCGCCCGTACGTAAGTTATTCGCGCGTACGTAAGTCATTCGCCCGTACGTAAGTCGGGACTTGGGCAAAATTCGGGCGTTCCTTTTCAATTCGCGCGTACGTAAGTTCGGGACTTAGACAAAATTCATGTAAAAAAGCAACTTGCGTACGCGCGAATTCGTCCAATTCGGCCGTACGAACGTCGTGTTTTCTGGCGCGTTTTCAGGCCAAAACCGCCCGGGCGCCCAAAACGTTAAATTCGGCCGTACATAAGTTGGCGAACGTAAAAATAAAACAGATACATCCGATCAAAGGATAGTCTCAACAGATCGCAGTGTAATAACTGCTCTGCTGCGTACAACCCCCCTGACCAGTAGTCAAGTCGTATACAAGCGATCTTACACCCCGACAATCAACCACACAAAGTCGTATGGATTCAACAACAAGCCAGTAATTAAACCAACCTGCAAAGTCAAATATGGGGTAAAGGCTGCAAGCACCCGAAGTGCAAGCATAAACGTACCACCCGAAGCCGGGGCACAAAACATTGTTTACCTAACCAGACGGGCTTCTAACTTAGAGGCATTCAGTTATAATCCCGCAGATGGTAGCTTTCGGACCATCGTCCTATCGGACGAGCCCATAAACCAATTGTCTGAACCTGCTGTTCCTCTCGTACTAAGCAAGATTACTGTTGCAACAACTCTTTGACAGTAGGATAAAACTAACCTGTCTCACGACGGTCTAAACCCAGCTCACGTTCCCTATTAGTGGGTGAACAATCCAACGCTTTGCGCATTCTGCTACGCAATGATAGGAAGAGCCGACATCGAAGGATCAAAAAGCAACGTCGCTATGGACGCTTGGCTGCCACAAGCCAGTTATCCCTGTGGTAACTTTTCTGACACCTCTTGCTGTAAACTTTACAAATCGAAAGGATCGATAGGCCACGCTTTCGCGGTCTGTATTCGTACTGAAAATCAAGATCAAGTAAGCTTTTGTCCTTTTACTCTACGTAAGGTTTCCGTCCTTACTGAGCTTACCTTAGGACACCTACGTTACTGTTTGATAGATGTACCGCCCCAGTCAAACTCCCCGCCTGACAATGTCATCGGCGCGGGT